CCCTGTGGTCCTATGGCCTAACATGTGGTTCTGTTTGCTATCCTGTGGTCCCGTGTCCTAACGAATGGTTCTGTTCTCTACCCTGTGGTCCTATGGCCTAACATGTGGTTCTGTTTCCTATCCTGTGGTCCTATGGCCTAACATGTGGTTCTGTTTCCTATCCTGTGGTCCTATGGCCTAACATGTGGTTCTGTTTCCTATCCTGTGGTCCTATGTCCTAACATATGGTTCTGTTTCCTATGCTGTGGTCCCGTGTCCTAACGAATGGTTCTGTTCTCTACCCTGTGGTCCCATGTCCTAACGAGTGGTTCTGTTCTCTACCTTGTAGTCCCTTGTCCTAACGTGTGGTTCTGATCTCTACCCTGTGGTCTCGTGTCCTAACGTGTGGTTCTGTTTCCTACCCTGTGGTCCCGTGTCCTAACGTGTGGTTCTGTTTCCTACCCTGTGGTCCCGTGTCCTAACGAGTGGTTCTGTTCTCTACCCTGTGGTCCCGTGTCCTAATGTGTGGTTCTGTTTCCTACCCTTTGGTCCTGTGGCCTAACATGTGGTTCTGTTTCCTACCCTGTGGTCCCGTGTCCTAATGTGAGGTTCTGTTCTCTACCTTGTAGTCCCGTGTCCTAACGTGTGGTTCTGTTTCCTACCCTGTGGTCCCGTGTCCTAACGTGTGGTTCTGTTTCCTACCCTGTGGTCCCGTGTCCTAACGTGTGGTTCTGTTTCCTACCCTGTGGTCCTATGTCCTAACATGTGGTTCTGTTCTCTACCTTGTTGTCCTATGTCCTTATGTATGGTTCTGTTTCCTATCCTGTGGTCCTGTGTCCTAACATGTGGTTCTGTTTCCTANTGGTTCTGTTTCCTATCCTGTGGTCCTGTGTCCTAACATGTGGTTCTGTTTCCTACTCTGTGGTCCTGTGTCCTAATGTGTTGTTCTGTTTCCTACCCTGTGGTCCCGTGTCCTGATGAGTCCCTGTGGTCCCGTGTCCTAACGAGTGGTTCTGTTATCTACCCTGTGGTCCCGTGTCCTAATGTGTAGTTCTGTTTCCTACCCTGTGGTCCCATGTCCTAACGAGTGGTTCTGATCTACCCTGTGGTCCCATGTCCTAACGTGTGGTTCTGTTTCCTATCCTGTGGTCCTGTGTTCTAACACATGGTTCTGTTTCCTACCCTGTGGTTCTGGTAGGCGGTGACGGCCATGAACCGTGTCTCAGGGAAGCAGAAGGAGCAGAAGTTCTTGTAGGCATTCAAATGGCTGTTAGGAGCTGGGTCCACGTACACCACATGGAAGCGCGGCTGATAGCGATGCATTGAGTTCAGTATCATCTGTAAATTGGGTAAAGGGGAATCCACAAGCCTGCTGTAATAAACATTTTATACGTATCCCAAAGTTTTAAACTGTGTTGAGAAATGACAGAATTAATTTCTTAATTTATTTCTATATTTATTAATTTATGAATGCTTGTGTATTGTTTTACTCAATTGTCAGCTACTTGCATTGTCTTTGCCTTATTTATCTTTAGTTTTCTGTGAAAATGACTAACTTTAGTTTGTTTCATTCTTGAACTATACATTATTTTACATAAACCAGCCACCTTCTGGATTTTCTTTCCTCTTTTGCCTTGGATATACAACAAAATCAGTTGTAGATGAATATCCAGTGATTGCTTTCTGGAGTTTTATTAAAATCCATCTAGTGATTTGTGCCAACACTACAGACAAACCCATACAAACATGGCTATAAGCATTTTTGCCGCTTCACCTTCATCCATGAGTGATAATAAAAATAACTAGAAGCACTCGGAGAGTGCAAACCTCCACCAAGACCAATTCCCCCCCATTCTGTAATAGAGTTAATGCGCAAAAGCAGAGATGGAAATATATTTACCGAATAATATCTGACGTCGCAAACATTGAAGCAGGCAGTATGCATGGAATTTCTTCCCAGTGGAGTCCAATGTGAAAAAAAAATCAGACTCGTCACCTGACGTTATTCATGGTCAAATTGGTGTCGGATTAAGCTCCTAAGTTTTCATCAGTCACATTTCACCGTGTAAAACGTCTGTTTTATCCCTTTGTATGAGTTTGTAAAGGTTTGACTCTTTATAAAGTGCTTCCTGGCTCCACCGTCTCCAAACTTTGAGGCCTGGCCAGAAGCTCTCTGTTTACAAGCCTAGTAGAGAGAAACTGTTTTGGTTGGTTGTTTCGGAAATGTGGTGTGTTTGAGGAAATGGGAAAAATAGGTTTCATGGTGCAGTCACCTCCTGGTCACAAAACGTTCTCTAAATGCGCACCAAATGTGTAAAAATGCGCACATTATGGCAAAAATTATTCATCATTAAATCTGGTTTTAACATTACTTTTATAAAGTTTGAAGTCCGTGCTGTAGAATCCAGTTCAAATGAACACTGAAAGCTCTCACTGTTTTTTACAGAAGCCCTGTGAAAGCATCACAGCTTTGCCGATCTCAGAGGATTAAAAGAAAAAAAATCCTGTATCCGCATCATGATCCGGAACATCACCAAAATGTATTGGTGTGTTATACGGGCCAGTACCCACATGTGGTAAAAATGTCGTGACAATCCATCCACAAGTTTTTGAGTAATGTTGTCCACAGACAGAACGACAGACAGACGGACATATGCGACCGAAAACATTACCTCCTTGGCGGAGGCCTCTTTCCTTTAACTCATGAGAGTCTACTTACATGTCCGTTGTCATCCAGCAGGTTGTTGGTGAGCTTGAGGGTGTCAAATGATACAATCTGTTTCATCCACTGGGCTCCAGGAGCTGGTGAGTCTGGGTGGAAATGCATCCTGCTTGGGGCTGCAACATCTGCCCGCCCTGCCACCAACCAGGAGGAGCTGTGGAATGCATATCTGAGGTATACGTTGGAAATAAACAAAATAAACACAGGTTAAGCACGCAGAGTGTCAACAAGCTCAGCTCCGCTTTATTCCAGGGTTGGCAATCACAATCTCTTCCACATCGTGCCTGACCTGTACCGCTTGTCGTCAACGGGAATGAAGTCCATTAGCAGAACGTATTCAGCAGAAGGATCCATCCCAGAGATTCTCACCTGAAATGTTGGAAACATCCGCCTGCAGTTCAAGAATATGGAAAAAAAGGATTGTAGTAGAAAACAAAAAAGACAAAAGAAGAAGAGGTATAAGATAAGATAAGATACGATACGATACGATACGATACGATACGATACGATACGATACGATACGATACGATACGATACGATAAGATAAGATAAGATAAGATAAGATAAGATAAGATAAGATAAGATAAGATAAGATAGACCTTTATTGTACAGAGCACAATGAAATTACAGTTCAGAACACCCATTCAAAAGAAGACATAACATAACAAACATAGGAGAGCAGGTGATCTGGGTCATGCAGCCACAGACCACTGCCCAGAGCAAGGATCATCATCATGAAGACATCATGAGGAGGCTCAACCCTTAACAGAAAAACTAAAAACCACACAAGGGAAGATGAGGGGAAAAAAACCCATCATATTATTTCAACAATGTGACACACTATGGTATGAGACAATCTGAGGCTTTTGTCACCTTCCAGACTTAGTAACGATCATCTCCGTGCCCAGCTGGTCAAACTGCTGCCAAAGTGCCTGCATCTCCAGCTGAACTCTGACCCCACTGACTTGAGGGGCCTTGGTGCTCAGCAATGACCCCCCATCGGTGCAGCAGGGTAATAATTCACAGCTCTGAGACAGCTCAAGGCCTAAAAGGAGGAGAGAATATCCTTTTTACCTTGTATGTTTTCCCTAATTTTCAATGCCTGATTACATAATTTGTAATACTTGGTTGTAAATTTAAAACACTTACCATTCATGCTTCAGTCTCTATAAGACTGGTAGGAATTAAGTTGTGTTTTTTCTTCTTATAATATTTCAGTTCACTTCTTTTGGTTCTTCCAGTTCGGACTGCAAATAGGAGAAGTCGTCAAACCATCGGGACCAGACGAAACCAAACCAGGAAGTCAGCCTCGTAACATGAACCTGGTGGTCGGTGTAGAGTTTTCTCATCCCAGTGGTTGGTGTGGACGATGCACATCTGAGTGGCTCTTTGTGGCTGAGAACCAGGCTGGTTTTATACACCATGAAACCCTCACAGGGGACCTCCAGTTTTGCCTCATCCATTACAATTCTCGTAGTGCCACTGACATGCAGTAATCAAAGCAATACACACTTTGCGACTCCAGAAACGCAGTAACGTGTGTGCACAGACCCACACACGATGTTTTGGGAGGATCACAGCTTAATTGCTCATTGGGTTTCATAGCCCGAAGCTTTAAGCAGATTCACATTTTGCACATTAATAAGACCCTGATCAGTTTGGTGTTGCAGGGTGTGAACAGATAAGGACAGCAGCAAACCAATTTATTATTCATAAGAGCTGATTTTCAACACCATAATAATTGGAGAGTCACTTACTCATTAAGTTTAAGTGTGGTTTGAAGTTGTAGTTCTGTTTAAAGGCTATATTCTGACTGCTCAAATGCATTGTGCCACCGTTTTGAAGATAAAAATGGTCCTTCCTTTTTAAACTACTGAATTAGCATTTTCTGCAAAAATATAATGTGAGAGCTGAATGATTTGTGTAAATTTGCTGAAAAAGCTGAGAGTTAAAATGATAAAATGCTGGCTCAAATCCAAAAATAGTGAAACGTTAACTAAAAATAGCAAAAGGCCAGCTAAAGGTAAAAAAAAGACTAGTTATAAGGAACAAAACCTTACCTAAAAACCAAACGTAAATCTAATTGAAAGTTTCAAAAGGTCACCTAAAGCTAAAAAAGCTAAATGTAGCAAACATGTTCCTTAAATTCATAAAAGACTAAGTAGCAGAACAATAGGTCAAATGCTAAAAGTAGCATAGAAAGACAATTCCTTTGTAAAAATTAAAGTGATCTCTGTAAATTTGTAGGGAAAATTAAAAAAATTACAAAGTTTGAAATGTGTAAAAGTAAAAAAATCAAATAAATTAGCACATAGCATGCAAAAGGTATTTTGTAAAAATATGCAGAATAGTAATAAACAGGAACATGGTGAATCAACATTCACACATATGTGATCCTATAATTAAATGTATTTTGTATGTAGCTTTGAAAAGCATTTTGTTACAATTTGTGTGTGTAAGGCTGGGGGTAGAGTGAGTGTCAGGGTTAGACTGCAGAAATGAATGGAAGTCAATACACTATCCTAATAAATACAAGCTTGTGTGTCCCTTTAGCCCTGTGTGGTTCTGTGATGGGACAGTGTTGAAGGATTCCAGCCTGAGGGATCCAAAGAGAAGACTTTATCCTGATCTCGCACCACAACACTCAGGTTTGTCAATAAGCCAATTTACTAACAGATCAGCTCATTAATCATAGCTTTCATTACCACAGACAGGAAAACCTCACACATAGCTGAATTCCAATTTCAAGTAAAACTAATCGTTTTAATAATGTTCTTTTTTGATCTACATTTTTGACAACCACCTTTGCTTGTCTGGTGTTAATTTTAAAAGATAGTTCAGAACTACTGAAGTGAGGTTCTGTAGAAATGCTACAAAATGATGAAATAAGTACTGTCGCTCATGTCAGGCCTGCGCCTCAAGACGGCATCTCATGAGGTGTGGGTGTTGGAAAATAGTTATCAACTCAAAATTGTAAGGAAACAGACAATTCTTTGTTACAATCTTGCTGAATTTCGAGTGCTGAGCTTTATGACCATGTTTAAAGTAGTCTATTTTTTAAATAAAGGTCAATTTTTATGTGCAATGTTTGCACATTTATTTTCTAAGTGTGCACATCGCTTTGTCACAGATGTCCACTCACATCAAACTTAGAACAGCTTGGGATCTCCAAGGACAGGGTCTGCAGCTTTTATAATCAAAAGACCCGTTTCTGCCCATTGGTTCATTAATAAAATGTGTCATGTTAGTTTTGGTCAAAGCTTCAAAGCATGTGACCCCCAGAGCCGCAGGACCCCTGGCCAAGGAGGTGCTGGAGATCGTCGTTGAGAAAAGGATTGCTGGGATTTCTCTCCTAAACCTGTTGCCTCTGCAACCTGACCACGAATGAGCAGCAATAAAATGGTGAGACGACCACAATGACCCTGGGATTGAGCTGAGGGCATATTTGTAACAACAAGGTTGTGAGTCTCTGTGACTCACAAGGAAACTAAGAACTTCCCTGAACATTCAAAACATTTTTGGAGACTCCCTAATGAAAGCTGTTCAAATGTTTGCCAGCTGTTGTAGCCCAGTTGTTTTTAAATTACAAACTAAACATTTATTATTAAAAATACATCACACTTTCCATCAGTGGTGGGCAGCACTAATCTAAAAATTAGTCGCACTAATCCTAAAACACTAGCTTTAATATTTAGGTCCCCTAATTCTAAAGCACTAACTCACTTAAAATTTTAGCAAAAGCTAGTTCTAAAGCACTAAAAAACCCAGATGACCCATGGAACATTCCTCAGAGTCAACATGAGACAGTATTTTCTGTGTGCAGATTATTTTTAATATTTCATCTCGTGTACTGATTCCCAACGTTGGGGTCAAGACCTCTTTGTGGACCACAAAACATCAAGTGAGGGTCCTCAGATGACTTCCAGACATCAATTTAAATGCATAAAAATGCTAATGGAATATTTTCATCATGATTGTTGCAATTTTTTTAAATAATCAAAAATGAATAATAATTAGTATCATAGTTCCCATGTTAACAGAGTTGTTAGCAAAGTTTGCATTCGTAAACAAGTAATATATGGGATCACGAGTGTCTGCAGTTGTTATTTTGTGGGTCAGAAGCAAAAAAGTTTGAAAACCACTGATCTAGTGGATAGGTGACACACATATGACCAACACGTCTGACAGCTTTTACTCCAAGCTGTTGACAATAATGTTGATCAATACACTGATAAATCAAGAAATTAGCAAAAGCCCTAAAGCAGTAATTAGAAAATTAGTTCCCCTATTGGTGCTTTAGTGCTTGAGGGGAACTGTGCCCACCACTGCTTTCCATCAACTCTGGGTTGGCTGCTGTATATACATGTGTTAATATGAACAACTAAATGAAAAGAGAATATATATAAAGTTAACTTGTGTGGGTTAAAAGAACCAGTTTAGCCCCAATGACTCCAGTCAAAAGATAAATTAGCTGAAAGGACTGAAATAAAATGCAGCCAGCTCATCTTGCTGTTAGCTCGCTAGGTCAAACAGCTTTCCGCGGTAAACTTTTATAAACACGTTACGTCTGCAATTAACTGACAGAGTTATAAAGATTTATCTAATGGGGGGATCAAACCCAAGACCTCTAACTTTTCAGTGATGCTGGCACTTTATTGAGCTAAGTAGCTGCGTAGCATAGGAGGTGTTTTTGCAGCATGTGTATAATGTGTGTACTCACATTGCAATTACCTTCTCAACTTTGCTCTATTTTAAAACATAATCAGGTGCCAAGGCTCTTTGATCAGACTGATAACCTGCAGGGCTTTGACCGAAGTGGATTACCATTTTAGGAAAGTGGAAGTGCTACAGTTAGCTGCTGCTGTCACACTTAAATCTATGTAAAATACCATAAAATGCTAAGTAAAGAGTTGTAAAATAGCCTTTGCATGGCTAGTTGAATTTATAGATTTGAGCTGTTTTGAGATGGCAGTATTCCAGCTATGTCATGATTCTACTTGGACTGGCCGCCAGTCTGGTCAAACTGAGGCTGTCCATTAGCCTTTTATCTATCGTATACTTTTATTTCAAGATAATGTGTATTTAAAACATTAGAAGATATTGACACTGTTATACTCTACAGGGCATGCTCAGGTGAAGTACAGTGTGTCGTTACCCTTTAGACATGAAGAAAAGGATTCCAGACAGCACATTCGTATAAACAGTCAGATGTTTATTGAGCTGTTTTTCATCAAAGCACGTTATAGTTACACAGAGGTTCAAGCACTTGTGATAATTCACATACATTTATACACAAAACATTAGCAGTGTACATGTGAAGAGTGAAGGGTGTGTGCTGGGTGTGTACGTGTCTCTGTGCGTGCCTGCGTGTGCTTGAGTGTGCGCGCGTGAAATGAGTCATTTGCTTCGAAAAAGAGAAAAGTCCTGCCATTTTGTTCATAAGTTAAGCACTAGCTTCATTTGTGCGGTGGTCTGTTTGAGAGGGAAGAAAGAATGGAGGGAAAGGTGGAATGGATCTAGGACAGACAAGGAAGGGGAGGTTAGTCAGAGAAGAGCAGAGAGGATTTAGTTTTTGTTGAAGGTCTCAGCGATGAGCCCAGCAATGGCTGTGAACTTTTCCTTGATCTCCTCAGCAATAGGCTGTATCTTCTCCTTCAGCTGAGTGAGATCCTCGGCTTTGACATTCTGCATCTGGCTGTAGGACTGCCTCAGGTGTTCCTTGTACTCCTCGACTAAAGGGGCAGCCATCTCCTTCAGGCTCTCCAGGCGCTGAGTGAGTTTGGTGCGCACGGCCTCAACAATGGGAGCCAGGGCGGCCTTGGTCTCCTCCACATTGGTTTCTATCTTCTGACGCAGCTCAGCCATAACGGGCTCCATCTTGACTCTCAGAGCTTCCATCTCGGCGTCGTGCTTGGTTTGGTACTCTTTGACGATGGGCTCCAAGTGGGTGCGGTACTCCTCCACGTGCTTTTCGAGGACCTCCCTCAGCTTGGCGCGCATGGGCTCCAGCTCGGCTTTCAAGGCCTCGATGTCGCTCGCGATGGAGGCACGGACCTCGGCGGTGGCATCGGAGATGGTGCTAACAACGCTGTCAGTCATGGGGGACACTTGGCTCTGCAGTTGCTTGAGCTGAGTGTGCATGTCATTCAGACGCTGGGCCACAGTGCTCCTGGGAAAGAGGGAAGGCGGACAGGCGTAGCGTTTTAGCTAAACATCCCCATCACAACCACACAAAATGTTTGGAAGGAATCAATCAAGTATGAGTTAAAGAAAAGTTGCACTGAATGCCACGAAGGGGATTGGCTTACTTGACGTTCTCATACTCAGTGCCATCGAGCTGGTCCAGAGCTTTGATGGCACTCTCCTTTGCCTGCGTCAGGTAGACATCAACAGCAGACCGTATGTGTTCCAGCTGGGATGGGGCATCGGCCTGCAGGGAAGCGGCCTGAGAGCCTGAGGTGAGGGAGCCAGAACTGTTAAACTTGTGCAGAAAATTCACCAAAACATTACGTGTAAGAAAAAAAAGCGGGCTCAAACTCACCGACAGCCAGGAGAAGAGCGAGGGCGAGAGCCACGAATTTCATGGTGGTGGTCTAGAGGGAAAAGACATGAACTCGTTTAGGAAGTTTCAGTAAAACAGCTTGAAGTCAAGAAATCAATTGACCAGAACGGAAAAATAGGAACACATTATTTAGGTTTTGAATCTCCATTTTAAGCAGATTTAGAAGACTTAAAATTAAAAATGTTGTACAACATACTTATCCCTAAATTGGCCTAAATGACCTGGCACTTAACATACGGCTGTCTGCGAAAAGGACACTGTAATCTGAGTAGATTAGTACAGCAGATTAGGAAAATAGGATCTAAACTGTTTCATAATCTTGGTTTAGGAACAGATTTAGCGAGTGAGCTGTACAAGCTGGGAGACCACATCAGCTCAGAGACTTTAGAGACAATGGAGACATTATGAATGAAATTTGGATTTAAAATCTGCACAAACTTTTCCTTGAAGTTACGTTTTATTAAAACAAAGTTGTAAAGTTACAAAACCTTCAGTCGCAGCCTCAAATTTTACAGAAACTCACTCAGGTAGATCAGACATTTTTTTAAGAAGTTCTCCGACACAAATTTGTACAAAATTTCCCCAACCTAAAGCCCAAGTTCCAGTTTCTGCCTCAGAGGTGTCTTACCTGGTGGAGTTGGTGACGAGACTGAGGAACTTCAGCAGGAGCAGACTTTTTATAGCTCCCGGTGGAGGGATGAGTCTCTGTGGGGAGGGGAGAAGTGGAGCGCTATGTGTCTCGGTGGAGGTGGACCTCACCCCCAAGTCGTCTCCCCCAGCAGGGAGGGGGGGGTGGACTGGGTTGAGGTTCAACGGTCACCTGCTACGAAGAGATCAGTCATCGCACAGCAACACAAGTCCACAGACCTGACCACAGGTGCACTTTTGCATACATAGTTAGACCCAGAGAAGTGCTTCAAGTTTTACACAAATCATAATTTTAATCTCACAACTGGATGTTTTTTAGAAGAGATTTCTTATTTTGTGTTGTTTACAGACTGGGGAAAGAAAATCCATGTTTGTTTTGTAGTCAGCTTATTGGGGGAAAAAACTCTGTGGTAACTGTGGTGTGGAGTAAAAACCAAGAAAGTTTTGGAAATTCGAAAAAAATGGAAGCTTTTTAAATTAAAAAAAATTTAAACTGTTTAATGAAAACTTACAAGCAGTAGATAATGTTAAAAGCTTGGGAGGAAGGGAAATAGGAGACGTGACTTGCAAAAAATAAGTATTAAATATTATTTATCTGAATGTAATTAGTAAAATTTAACTTTATCGGAAAGTCACCCTGATTTTTTTTCTTTTTAGTCCTTTCAAAATGCTGCCAAGTAAAACAATCAAATGTAAACAGAACAGGCAGACTTGATGCAATCAACTCTTTGAAACGCAAAATACAGTTAATCTAAAGTCCCTGATTTCTGGATGATTTCAAAAACAACAACAGGACATGGCAGGTCATTACCACACAATTAAAAACAGAATCAAAACAAAATTATCTGGCTTCAGGATAATGAAATTAGTCACAGGTTTGTGCGTGTGCGTGGGGTGATTTGTGGGTCAAAGAGTTGTGTGTTCTGACCTGTTGTTTGCTGTCCGTATCACCAGTGGACTTTACCACCATGGCTTCATGTAATCTGAAGAATGGAATGGATCACATTATATAATGTAATCCTCTGTTTTCACAAAATCTTCTGTTAAACAAGCTCTAGCGACACAATCAAAACTAGCTGTGCATAACTCAGATTTTCTTTTGAGGTTTGTTAGAGTTTCCTGTTTTTTAAATAGATGTGATGAACTCAAGTGTGTCTGTGGGACTCAGCAGGAAAAAAAAGCATCTGCACGCTGGGTGAAAGCTGCACTGTAACAGCAGGGTTACCAAGTACAAGATTAATCATTGTAACCTTTCTTGCACAATATGATCAATGCATGTGCGTCTGAAAAGCGTTACTCTCGAATCCTTATCCTGCAAGTTTGTTCGATTGCGACACATATCGAGCGCGTCTTATGCAATAACGGGACACGACAGGATTTTGATTCAGAGAGTGAAAAAATATTATAATTGTCCCCCCATTAAAAACAACAGCTGTGGCAAAAGTCTCCTGCAAGGGGAAGAATGATCCCCCACAGCTCCAAACACACAGGCCACAGTTGTAAAATAACTAAGTACAAATACTTCTTTACTGTACTTAAGTAGAATTTTTGGGTATCTGTACTTTACTTGTGCCTCCTAGATAGAGTGAATTTAATTGTGGTTGAATGAGAAGTATATGTATATAAGGTTCTGATACCATAGTAGTTTGTACACAAACAAATCTTGTCAAACTCCAGCAGGACATAGACATATGTAGTCTAGTACGAAGATGCATGTGGTGGCAAATACGTATATATATATCTATATATGTATATATATAAACACAGTTTTTCTACCAAAAGTCATCCCATACGTTGGCCCAGTGACTAAATACGGGGCAGTATTGCAGTTAGTCAAAATGTGGGCCACCACACTGGCTGCTAGCTTAATCATTAAAAATAGAAGGCTTATACTTAGAAGTATTTGTATTTCATGAATTATATTATTGCATTTCGCCACGGCCCTCGGATAGATTTTCATTTTGGAGAAAAGTTTTGGGCCCCCTTGATATTCTTATATAAACTGAAACAACCAAACTAGTGCATCCTAAATTTAACATAAATTAATGATTTTAACACAATATTGCAATTTCTGTATTTTTTGGGGGAGGTCACCTCCTAATAAATGCTATTACAGAAAATCCAACTGTTCGTTTTAAATCAATACTTTTACTTTTAATACTTAAGGACAAAAAATAGCAGACACTTTGAGACTTTTACTGAAGTAATATTCCTAAAGGAGACTTTAACTTTTACCAAAGTATTTTTGGTAAAATACTTGTACTTTTACTCTAGTAATATTCCTAAAGGAGACTTTAACTTTTACCAAAGTCATTTTTTGGTAAGATACTTGTACTTTTACTCAAGTATCACTTTGTGGTACTTTATACAACATTGATGAAAATACACAAAAAAGGACAAACTTAGCCAGGAACAAAGCTAACTAAGATAACAGCAATAGGCAGATCCTCTGCTGTGTGCAAAATGGGTTCACTCACTGTGCTGCCTTAAGCTCTAAGACTTTTATGGACTGGTTCGACAAAAGTCTTTACATTAAACTTTTTGATTTTGAAAATGTGCTTCTTGCTAACATGCTAAGTTAGAAACACTTTAAAGAGCTATGAAAAGAGCTGGGTTTTCTTACGTTTCACCAAAACCACACCTGTTGTCTATCAGAATATATATTTTTAAGCCTTAAACTGCTACCAAAAGTCAGAATATTGATTGAAACACACTTTAATGTATATTTTGTGTGCTTTTTCCCCAAAAGTGCAAGATGGTGTTGAATAAAGGATCATGATAGGAATGGACAATAATAAAAAGAAACCAATACTGAAGCACCTTAATAGATTAAAGATTCATTCTTGCGTTGTGTTCCTTGCTGCTGCAGTTTATCTCAGTTATAAATTGCATGTTACGTCCTGCTTGTCCTAACTTTAATTTGCCTTTGTTATTCATTATTTGCCACACACGGTGTCATCTAGTCTGCTGATTACATTACTGAGTCAGTGTTTAACATAAATGCAGTCAAAGTTGAGCCGATGACTAGAAAGAGGAGTCGACCACTCCTGCCACGTTCACAGCACCGTTATCAGCTGCAGTCAGCTGTCTGACACAAATGAGCAAAAATACTGCAGATGGGCTGAAACATGTGACAACAGATCACTTAGGAATGTCTGCGAAGAAAGAAGTCTTTTTTAGCGAATACAATAGGAAACAAAGAAAGTTGGGACTGCCTTTTTTCAAACTAAGCTTGCTTTAGTCTTTGTTAAACTTAATAGATAGCTATTAAGTAAAACCCTTGGATCTCAAAGTAGTTTAAAGGTTTCCTTCATTATTTAAGCAATATATATACAGTGTATATATATA